CCCACCGCGGGGCAGGGGAGAGGGCTGGTTGTCTTGGTGCCGGGGACCTCGGTCTCCGACACTGCAACCGACACCCGCCTCTAGGCCGAGGCCGAGCAGCTCCGGGAATGGCGACGAGTCGCCAAACAGCATTTCAAAGAACCCGGATGTACTATTTATAGTGCATGGGCGGGCGTGGAGGGCTCTGGGAAATGTAGTTTTCTGCCTGCATCTGGCTCCCGTGACTTCCTCCCCGACACTGAGAGGGCGCGAGGAATGATGGGACTTGTCGTTCCTTCCAAAAACCGATTTTAGACATAGTGCATCTATAATAATATCTTCTGCTAATAATGATACAGCCTAATGTTAGAATACCCACAGAATTTCTTGTGAATTCGCTTTCTGATCTATGATTTGAATTCTAATATTAATAGCAATTTTGTGGCTCTTACTCAATCTCATATTAGAAATAATAATAGTGGTGCTGATAACGATGCCTTATTTAAATATTCTTTTACATGACGTCCTCATACAATGCCTGACCCTGTTTTCATCCCTCTACTCACATAAGTTGTGAGTATTCCATTGCCAAAAATCATAGTTATCATCCAGTGCTTATTATCAGCACACATTGTGTTGTGCTGTTTGCGTGCATAAATGTCACTTTCAATCTACAATAACTCAGTTTGAAAGACCAGGCAATGGATTTCGGTCCTGGACCTAGGTTACATAGTTATTAACTGATGGATGGTCACAACAACCTGTGAGATCCCAGTTCCACATTTCACAGATATGGACACAGACTTAGAAAATCACACTTATACTTTAGAAATTGCATCCATAAATACCTAGGAAATTTCTAAATGATTCCTTCTGACCATAGTAGTTTGAGAGTCAATAGGATCACATACACATACTGTTAAAGGGAGGAATCAATACTGCTTTTCAGTTAGAATCAAGCATAGGAACAATTGTGAGGAATGCTCAGGACAAGGCAGTATTTTGTTCTGTTGTGCAAGGAGTTGCACAATGGATCAGAACCAAATCGATGGCACCCTTGTTTAGTTAGAAGTCCCATTATGTGCCACGTATTGTGCTGGCACAAGTAATGCCAATATAGGTTAAGTTTGAGGGTTTTGATAAATTCATAATCTTGACTTAGATAAGCTAATAAGAAACTAGAACTCAAATGGGAGAAGGATTGTAAAGAAAATCAACTACAAAACGCTGTGTGACTAGCCAAAGTACAGGTTTCACGGGAAAGAAGTCCAGTTGCAAGGGCTAGAGGAGGGCTTCCCAAAGGTGGCATCACTTGAGCTGAGCATAGAAGAATAAGTGGAATTTCGAAATTTGTGGAACAAACACATGGAACCCACTGCCTTTGAGTCAATTCACATTTGTATCGACCTTTTGGGACAGAGTAGAACTGGCCCCCAAGGTTTCCAAGCTACAATCTTCATGGAAGCCGACTGCTACATCTTTCTCCTAGTGGGTTTGAACTGCCAATCTTTTGATTAGCAGCAGCACAGCCCTCTGCTTAACCACTGTGTCACCAGGGTTTCTTAGACAGTCATTAAAGAATAAACAAAACCCAAGAAATCTTATTGTTCTCTTCTTGGTTCCTTGTGTGTGTCTGTGTGTGTGTTTTGCTTTCGTATTATGATACAAGTCTTCTTAGGCTCACCAGGTTATCAATATATTTGATTTTTTTTTGTATTTGATTATTTATCTTGGTGTCACGCAGAGCTGCCAGACACCTGAGGTCCTGACTTAGGCCAGGCCACCTGAAAACATCACACTCTGACTGTCTGGCTGCCACTAATTCCTCTCTGCAGGAGTGCTGCTCTGGTTTCAAGTCTAATCTCAGTATTTTAAAATTTTTTTCATTAACATGCTCTCCACCAGTTCATGTCCTGTTTCACCTTGTATAATTTCTTACCCATCAGTCATACTGAAGTGAGAGGAACAGCTACATGACCGATAGTTTAGAAACCCCATGTGCTGTCCCAAAGTAGTCTGTTCTTATACAAATATAGGTTTAGGTGTAGAAGATAGACAGAGTTCTTTTTTTTTTTTACAAGACAATCTTTATTTGTCATTAGAAATTTCACAATATAATTACACATGGTTGCGATTAATCACTATTTTCACTATGTTGAATTTGTAACAATGAAAATACATCACAGAAAATTTACATGATATAACATTACATTACATGTATAAACATTACAATTAAGAAAAGTGGGGGGGTCACAACATGAGGAACAGTTTAAAGGGTTTAAAGGGCTCTCGGCATTAAGAAAGTTGATAACCACTGCCTTAGTGGGTTAAGCCTTTGTTAAGCAACAGCTAGTTGCTAAACGCTACCTGAGCAGCTTTCCCTAAGCTGTAAATTAACCGTCAACACAAGATAGTATCCAGAAGCTTGCCTCAAACGGGGTAGACAGAGTTCTTTAATGCACCTTCATTGAGCAAAAATAATGTGAGAACTCTGTCATCCTGAAAAATAAATCAAATTGACCACCACAGCTGGAATGACTAGGCAGGAACCTTAATGAGCAGTGAGTTTGTGCTAATGTGGAAGGAATAAATCCAGAACAGGAGGTGAGAACAGCAGCCAAACTCAAAGAATGTCATCAATATCATTAAATTGGGCATATAGACATGGTTAAATCGGTGTCTGTTTTGCTGTATATAATCTCAACAGCAACAAAATAAAGAGAGAAAAAAAGATAGCGGAGAGGAAAAAAATCCCAGTGCAATGCCCCGCACCCCAACCCCTAACAACAGAAGTAAGACTATATTAAAGGAAGATGGCATTTTTCCGTTTGGGGGATCTTTGGCACTTTTCCCCTTGTCAAATGTTTATAGGAAACATACATTTAAATTAAAGCAGAAACAAAGAAATCCAAGCACAACGCACTACCTCCCTTCTTTCATTTGCGCAAGATGGTTTTCAGTCCCCTCCACATGAACAGACTGTGGAAATCTGGACTTGAAGCAAAACGCCCATGCTATGCCAGTTGGAGCTGAAAGTCGTTTAGTGACAGCAGGAGTGCTGATGAATTCTGACTTGCTAAATAGATTCCTGAGTTCCATTCACCTTTATAGCATCCTAAGGTTATAAAAAGGCAAGATGAAAAAGCAGCGTTGTATGTTTAATTTTCAGTGTCGTCTAGCCTATTTTTTCAAAAAACGATCTGTACATCTCTTGCACCAGAAACACCAGAGAAGCCTGTTACAGATTTACTGCGACCCAGACTGTATCAAGTGATTCAAAAATCGTTGGTGTTTGTAGGCTAGGGATCTACATTTCAAAGATCACATCAGGTGATTCAAATGCACACCAATCAATGTGTGCAACAATTGATCGCGAATTCGACCTTTACGACTCCGGCCCTCACTCAGTTTCCCTCTGCTGCAACAGAAAACATCGTCTTGAAAAGAAAAACAGCAACAGTACCCGCTAGTAAGCCTGTACTACTGGGGGGCAGGATTCTGAAACAGGGTCCCGAAAAGCGCTTGGGAGATCCGGGAGGGGATGTTAGACCCCACTCGTTCCTAATGAATCCTAAATTCAATTTGACAAGAGGAAGGGGTTTGGGTACCCAAAGACAACTAGCTTTCCCATTCCAAAACTTGGCTCCTCAAGGGCAGGTTTCAAAACGCCGTGGACTAAGATTGTCTCCAGTCGGCCGCCGTCAACTGACGTCAGTAGCACCGTGACGTCACCAGGCGTCGACACACGACTCCGAAGATGGCCGCGCTCGGGAACCCTGCTCTCTGGGGCGTCTGCGGCCGGGGGTGGTCTCGGGCGAAGCTGGCTGGCCGGCTCCCCGGGCTTCGCAGCTCCTGGCCGAGGGGCCCGGTTGGTGTGCGGCCCTTGTCCCAAGAGAAGCCGGCAACGGAAACGCACTTCGGCTTTGAGACGGTGTCGGAGCAGGAGAAAGGAGGCAAAGGTGAGCGGAGAGGTAGGCGGTGGGTGGGATCTGAGGGTCCTCAGATTAGTTTGTTCCGTCCAACTGAAGGTTGCTTGACGTCCTTTTAACAGGTACCGTAGCCTGTGCATTTAAGCGCCCCATAGGGTCCCCTCCACCTGATCTGCTCTTTCTCAGCCGAGGAATTTTTCGTTAAACCTCATCAATTGAACTATCAAGGTGTGCCAGGCACCCGGCGGGACGTTATTTGCGGATGTTATTTCTAATATTCATTTTAACCTTCCGGTGGTGGGTACTTCTACCCTCCACTTTACGAGGCTTAGGGTTAAGGAAGAGCATGCCTGGCTCTACATGTAGGTAATAAGTTGTGGAACCAGTATTCCTGTCCAGATTGGTTGTTCCCCAGGACACCTGCTGATAATCTTTTTTTAAATAATCTCTTGATAAAGGGAGAAACCATTAAAAATGTGTCTCAGCATCCAGATGTGCATAGTAGGAATAATAATAACCCTTTAGTTTGAGTTCTCGTCAGGATTAGCTGACTTGAAACATTTAGGCACTTCAGCGGTACCTGGTGCTTAATTATGGTTCAATACATGTCAGATGCCGTTGAGAAATTTCTGTGTGCCCAGCCTTGTGCCACACACAGGAGGGACGTAAAGAACTGTTTTTAAACTCCAACTGTTGTTCCATTTATCATGACAAAGACATCATGTCTATTTCATAGATGCTAAAGTGAGGCGCTGCGAGTTTCAGTCACTTGCCTTAGGAAATAAGAATAGGAACAAGAGAACGCGCCCACAGTTTCCTCTGGCCTCAAAGATTACATTGCATTGCCTCCCACCTCAGCCTTACTAAACACACAGCTCTCCTGTAACTTTCAACATCGAGTTCAAATGGCCATTTGTTTCACTGGACTGTGAATCCCCAAGCTAGAACAATGGCTCATTCATTTATTTATCATCAAAGCCTGAGGCAAGTCCTGACACAGTAGCAGCTCATAACTTCATGTGGAGGGAAATAGGGTATACCACGTACAAACGTTTACTTGGGGCCTGGAAGCTTTTTAAAACCTTGAGCAGTAAGTCTTATAACCTAACGAGGTAGGAACTATTACTCTGTTTTTTTGTAGCTGAGGAAACGATGTGAGTTGCTGTGGGGTCAGCTCTGACTCACGATGACCCCATGTATGCAGAGTAGAACAGCTCCATTGTGTTTTCAAGGTTGTGACCTTTAAGAAACGGACCCCATACCTGTTTTCCAAAGTGCTTCTGAGTGGATTCAAACCATCCATGTTTGGAATGTCTGGCACAGTGGTTCTTAACCTGGGGGTCACGACCCCTTTGGGGGGGGTGTTGAACAAGCCTTTCATAGGGGCCCCCTAAGACCATTGGAAAACACAAATATTTCACAATATATAATTACATATTGTTTTGTGATTAATCACTATGCTTTAATTATGTTTATGTTCAATCTGTAACAATGAAAATACATCCTGCATATCAAATATTTACATTACGAGTCATAACAGTAGCAAAATTACAGTTATGCAGTAGCAGCAAAAATAATGTTATGGTTGGGGATCACAAGAACTGTATTAAGGGGAGGAGATGAGCCAGTCAGGGTGCGATGTAGCAATGATGAAAAATACAACTTTCCTCTAGTTCCTAAATGCTTCCTCCCCGCCCCCACTATCATGATCCGAATTCGACCTTGCAAGTCTGGCTAGACCAGAGGATATACACTGGTACAGATAGGAACTGGAAACACAGGGAATCCAGGGCAGATGATCCCTTCAGGGCCAGTGGTGTGAGTGGCGATACTGGGAGGGTAGAGGGAGAGTGGGTTGCAAAGAGGGAACCGATTACAAGGAACTATATGTGACCTCCTCCCTGGGGGACGGACAACAGAAAAGTGGGTGGAGGGAGACGTCGGACAGCCCTGGTGGTGCTGTTGGGTACGTGTTGGACTGCTGACCAAAAGGTCAGTGGTTTAAACTCACTGCTGTCTGCTCCGGTAGATTTACAGTTCCAGAAACCCTAAGTAGAGTTGTTACGAACCAGAATCAACTCAGTGAGACTGGGCTTGATTTGGGGTTTTATTTTATAATATAAAATCGGGGTTAATTTTCAGTGAATGACTTTTTCATGTAAACTTGTTTTTAAATTAGAATTAGAAGTACTGCAAATTAAAGAAAAATTGTTTCTGTTTAAATAGTTTTGCCCAGTATTTGCTGCCCTCTTATTATCGCACATTGTGAGCCGGCATCCAGACCTCCCTTCTGTGTTTCAGCAGACTGGTACACTCTTCTAGGTTCTGATGAGCTTTGACATTTTTCCATTGCAGTTTCAAGGGCATGAAATGTCTCTTAGGGTTTTTTCACTTTTTATTGTGAATTGGGTGAAGGTTTTTAAAAGGAGCAAATAAATCAGTTACCCATTCAACAATTTACACGCATTTTATTTATTTATTTTTTGGTAATCATTTCATTGGGGGCTCTTAAAACTCTTGTTACAATCCATACATCAATTGTATCTCACATATTCATACATATACTCTGTCGTTCTTTTCTAGACATGTACTGTCCATTGAGCCCTTGGGATCAGCTCTTCTTTTGTCGTCGTCCCCCCGCCCCATTCACACACATTTTAGGTCATGTCATTGATTGCCGTCCCTGCCATGGAGAGTCACTGTCCCACTTCCTCCTTGTTTCCCATTTCCGTTCCTCCTCCATAGCCCTTTGAGCTTTGCCCTTGGGTAAGTGCTGCTCTTCTTTCTCCAATGGTTGATTATTCTAAGGTGTGTCTAAAGAGTTTCTCTCATTTGAAATTTTTTGCTGTCCCTTCTGCTGGGACTGTCTTCAACCATTTTGGTCAGCAATCACATGCCTCATTGATGTCAGTAAGTTCATCTCACTGGATTCCTTTGGCCGCATACTTTGTCCCTTGAATGGCACAGTGTCAGCGCCACCCCCATGACTCTTTGTTGTAAAACTCAATTGACATTTGATTCAAATTTCGCTTCTGGCATTAGCACTTCTAACTTCCTTTTTGCACTATCATGGTGATTGGCCAGTTCCATGTTTCAGTTTTCCATTTTTATGAAGTGTCACACAGGTTTGTGACTGGAAGAAAGGTGGCCATACAGCTCCATGCCTTGCTGTCGGTGGCAGGTCACCAATAGTCTTTGAAAGAAGTGATGTGGAGGGTGGGGTGGAAAGGGGGAACCGATTACAAGGATCTATATATAACCCTCTCCCTGGGGGACGGACAACCGAAAAATGGGTGAAGGGAAACGTCAGACATGTAAGATATGACAAAATAATAATATAAGTTATCAAGGGTTCATGAGGGAGGGGGGAGCGGGGAGGGAAGGGAAAAAAATGAGCTGAAGTGGAGAGAATGATGAGGGCAATGAATGTACAAATGTGCTTTATATAATTGATGTATGTATGGATTGTGATAAGAGTTGTATGGCTCCTAATAAAATGATTTAAAAAAAAAGAAGTGATGTGATTGGTTACTGATCATGATGTGCATCCATGATATGCATAGTGATCTATGGAGTGAAGTACTAGCAATGAAGTGTATTCTCTAACGCCTTGTGAAATACACCGTGGTAAGTGAAGTTGGAGTTGTCGGGCTGGTGTTACTCACCTGAACGGAAACCTGCGCATCTTGTGGTGTGTAGAGTGAGGCCTGCGGGACGTTGCTTGTTTGAGACCTAGTGTCTCTCAGACACCCTGGAAGCGGTTCCAAACAAAACATCTTGGAGATGACAAGAGTGGAAGCAGGATTGAGCTCTGTGTGCAGTTTGCTAATTTCAGAGCAGATCATGGGCCAGCTTGGGATCCAAGCAGCACCCTTCATCCGAGGAAGGCAAAGCATCTATCTTTGGTTTCTTAATTCAGCCTCACTGCAGGGAGGTAGGTGGCTGGCCCCATATGCACATTATATGAGAAAAAACAAGTGGAAAGTTAAATGTAGGCTGTGCTTGAAAGGGGTTCTCAGCATCTTGGGATGCCACATTCCTTGCCCCTGTGACGAAGATCACTTGAGTGTACGTACAATGGGCCCCAGTCCACATCTTGCAGTCAGTCTACGCACGGAGTTGGACCTGAGGTTCTTCTCCGTGATGTAGCCAGAGGAGAGTTAGGTCTTCTGATTGGTCAAATAGCTTCTAGCTGGATTTTGTAGGTTGTGTTTTCTGTTTTGTTTTGAACAACCATTTTTTGCTGTGCCCTAGAATCAGCTCCACCTCATGCCACGCTTGGGTATCGCAGAGCAAAATGGTGTCCAGTCCTGCGGCACCTTTGTGGTTTACGTGTGAGCCCGTTGTTGTGGCTTCTGTGTCGGTCCATCTCATTGAGGGTTGTCTCATTTCACTCGCCCTATCCCAAACCCGATAGCTTTTTCTAGTGATTGGTCTTTCCTGAGGGCAGGTCCAAAGTAAGCATGAAGTTTCGTCACCTTCACTTAAAAAAGAACAAAAGACACGTTAATCCTAAGGATTCCAGGTGATAGTCCCCGAGGGGCCAGGTCACAGTGAATAGTGGTCTAGGGTTTGGGCTACCAAAGTACTGCATTTGCACTTCCTGGCCGAGTGGCCCTCGGCAATTACATTAGTCCCTGAACCTGAGTTTTCTCTTCCACAAGAGGAAAATGATCATAGTACAGTACTGAGAAATAAGTCACCACACAAGGACTGCACTTTCATGCAGTCTCTGATCCATACAACACGTACAGTAGATGTGAGACACCATTTGCCACGTTGGACTCACGGTGGCTGGCCCTTTGCGTATCAAGAGCCAAACTGTACTTCGTGGGTTCTCAGTGGTGGCTTTCTTGGAGAAGGGTGGACTTGAACCTCCAGCCCTAAGGTTAGAAGCGAAGTGTGATGGAAAAAATAATCTATAATTTATCAAGGGTTTGGGAGGGAGGGGGAAGAAATGGGGAGCTGATATCAGGGGCTCAAGTGGGAGGAGAATGCTTTGAAAATGATGATGGCGGCATATGTGCAAATGTGCTTGACACACTGGAGGAATGTATGGATGGTGATAAGAGATGTAAGAGCCTCCAATAAAAGTATTTTTTTTAATTTTTTAAAAAGCCAAGTGTGTTAACCATTAGAAACCTGAGCTGCCCCCGCCCACCCCAGTTCCTCCCAGTACTCCAAGATAGTTGCCCTAAATCAGCCATTCCATTGGTGACAGTTGTTGAGTGCCTATAATCTGCATAAGTGAATAAGAAAAGCAACTTTGGCTTTTTTATTTTCTTTTTTCATTTCCCTCTCCTGCGGTATGAGGTGAGATGTTAAAGTCATAGATCACATGAGACGTAGAGGAGAGATTGGAATAATGGAGTCAGACACAATTCATGGTAGCATGCTCACCTCAGCCCTGCTTGGTTGTCCTCGTGGGGGGAACCTGGCCACGAAAGCAGGAAAGAGCCTCGAGAGGGAGAACAGGAGAGCCCCCATTTTATTGCTAACCAAGGGTTAGATCTCATTGGGGGGGACATGATTACAGGTAACCACACGTCACAGGAAGGGGCAGTACAATAGGCAAACACATGGTAGGAAGGGGATGTATAATAGACATAAGTGTGACAGGAAGGGGATGAGCTAGGGGTGTGCCCATAGGAATGGGAAGGTCTAGGGGTATACATGTGACAAGATGGGCGGACCCTAGATTCATGATGGCAGCCTAACCTTGGTCCTCCTTGGGCAGGTTTGACCTCTCGTGTCTCCTACAAGGAAACAGACAACTACTATCCTTATCAGAAGGAAGTGGGCCCTACTTGTGGGATAAACAGTGGTGTCTGCTTGCTCTAGATGGCTACTCCTGATGACCTCCGAGTGTATAGTTATTCGCAAGCAGCTAAGTTTGACATATATTTGGGGGAGACAACTTGGGAGAAATCCTTGTTTCCCATACTCTCCCTCCAACAAAGACCCAAGAGTTTAGTCCTCAACCGTGATGGACGTGGAAGCAGTCCTGTCTATCTAAAAGACTTTGTTGGGGGTGCAAGAGAAGCCCAGGCCAGCTCCCCAGCTGTGCTGCCAGCTCTTGGCCCGCTGATAGCCAGCCCTGTTGCAGGCCTTCGGCCGCCGCCTGGCTGAGCTCCAGGTTGGGCCTGCTGGCCGCCGTGCTCTCGTTCCTCTGCTGCTGCTTCCTCTTCAGCGCCGGCTTCTCGACGCCTGGCTCTGCCTGCTTCTTAGACTTGGTTTCCTTGTTCATTTTTCTGGCAGTCCACGGTCTATTCAGTATTCTTCGCTAACACCACAATTCAAATGAATGAATTAATTCGTTTTTCATTATCTGCATCCATGTCAGGCAAGTGAATACCATGGCCTGGATCCGGTGCAATTCAGTCATCACAGTGACTTCTTTGCTCTTGAGAACTTTCGGCAGGTCTTTTGCAGCAGATTTGCCCAATGCAGACCTCTATCTGGTTTCTGGACTGCTGCCTCCATGGCTGTTCAGTATTGATCCAGGTAGAACGAAACTCCTTAACAACTTCAGGGTACTCCATCTAGCAGGATGCTTATTGTTCATATAAAGTGAGAACTGAATTCCAACGATCTACCCTTCATCTTCCCTCTCTAAGAAATAAAACACTTATCTAGTACCAAATTAGCAGGCCTGAAAATCCATGCCCATTGCCGTCTAGTTGATTCTAACTCATAGTGGTCTTACAGACGGGTTCCAAAGCTGTCAGTCTCATGGAAGAGGAGGGTAGCTTCATCCTCCCTTCTGTAGATCAGCTAGTGGATTTGAACCACCAACCTTTGGGTTAGCAACAGCGCCCCCAGGGCTTCATAAAGATAACTAAAGCAGCAGCAGAGAGTGATTTCTCACCTGAAGTACTCTTCAGTTCTGCGTGAAGGGGTAATGTGAAAGGTGTAAACTTGGGCATTGAGCCTGAAAGCACCCTCTTTTTCATGGAGGGCTGATCCTCGTGACTCCGATTAATAGCTGTGTGGGGTTCTTCCCCATCAGTCTACCAGGTGTTTGAGAGTGTGGCCAAGAAGTATGACGTGATGAATGACATGATGAGTCTTGGGATCCATCGTCTTTGGAAGGATTTGCTGCTCTGGAGGATGCACCCACTTCCTGGGACCCAGCTGCTCGACGTGGCTGGAGGCACAGGTAAGAACTTTGTTCCATCATCACGGGGACCACTGAGCTTCTCTTGTATAATTTACTGTCTCGGTGGAACGAAAACAAACTCTCCAGGCAACCTTCTCTGCCTGATCTGCTGTCCCGTCCACTGTTGAGGGCTGAATCGTTTTATGGCTGGGCCTTTGCTACCTGGGGAGAAGAGTGCCGTGGGTTTCTAAATGCATCGTGGTGATGTCCGGGCCCTGAGTACATGACGCTGAGATGAAGTCCATGTTTTGAAACATGTATATGTGTGGCGTTGGTGTGGTCCTCTTCCCAAACAGAAGCTTGGAGGGGCAGTAAGACGCCTTGCCCTGTGGAGGACAACTTAGCAAAATCTGCCCAAATCTAAAATGCATTTAGCCTTTGATCCTGCCATTCCCACTCTAGGTAAGAATAACTTGCATGAAAATGC